TTGGTGCAAATGCTCTCAGTGTACATAAAAGAAAAGATACATTTGTCAAGAGTCAAGAATCATCAGATGCAACACTTAATGATACCCATAGGGTACAATAAGCAATCAAATCATATTAGGAAACAGTCCATATAAATCGTAAGGATACAAGCGACAAAGTTACAGTCAGGCAGTCACAAGTGGGAGGGGATGGGTGATAAGGACTGATGAGAAGATTAATAGTAATAGTAATGCAAACTTAGTAAATAGTTGGACAGTGTTGAGGGAATTATTTGTTTAGCAGAGTGATGGCGTTTGGGAAAAAACTATCCTTGTGTCTAGTAGTTCTGGTGTGCAGTGCTCTATAGCGTCGTTTTGAGGGAAAGAATTGAAACAGTTTATGTCCAGTTTATGTCCAGGGGTTGTAGATATTTTCACAGCCCTCTTTTTGACTCCTGCAGTATACAAGTCCTCGATGGAAGGCAGGTTCGTAGCAATTATTTTTTCTGCATGAGCCCTTTCCCCCTGGAAGTGATTTGTCTGGAATGGTAGGAACAGTAGAAGACGGCCAACGATCCTTTCCAACTCTATTATTCTACATCCTCAGTATTTCAGTTATAGGGATGCGTCACGCGGTGGCTCAGTGGCTAAGAGCTGAGCTTGTCGATCAGAAACGTCGGCAGTTTGGCAGTTCAAACCCCTAGCGCCACATCACGGAGTGAGCTCCCCACCCTGCACACCCCGTTTTGCCTGCTGGGCCTCAGGGAAGCCTCCTGGGCAAAGCAGTAAGACAGCGAGGGGGATCCCGGCACAGCTGATCATTGGAACAGCTGATCATTGGAACAGCTGAACCGGTAGCTGTTGTTTTTTTTTACTACCGGTTCAGCCAAACGGTAGCATTGTTTACTACTGATTTGCTCAAACCGGGCCGAACCAGTAGTATCCCACCACTGCTAGTGACTACCTGAATTCAGTTCTCTTGACCACAACAGGTGTCAGACCTACAAGGTGAACCAAACTAAGAAACCAATTCCACATAGGTTAGGATTATTTCTCTTGTGACAGCCATGCTAACTTCTCCCTCCCTCCTTTTTGATTCATGTGAAGTAGAGAGGGTCAGGTCTGTGATGGTTTCTCACGCTACCTTCTTGGCCCGGACTCAAACCCCACTTATCTGACTGTTGACTCGGTAGTAGCTCTTCCTCCTTTCCCCCATGGCCATTCCCTCTGACCGTTGGCTTAGTAGCAGCTCTTCGCCTTGTCCTCCCAAGGCCATTCCCTCTTCCATCTACTGTACAATATAGAAGTCTTCTTTTTTTATATTTTCCAGTCTGACCAAGATCCCATGAAGTGTTAATACCACTTTATGATGCCTTGGTAATAAGGCCACGCTTGGAATACTGCATCCAGTTTTGGTCGCCATGACATAAAAAATATGTTGAGACTCTAAAAAGAGTGCAGAGAAGAGCAACAAAGATGATGAGGGGACTGGAGGCTAAAACATATGAAGAAGGGTTGCAGGAATTGGGTCTGCCTAGTTTGATGAAAAGAAGGACCAGGGGAGACAGGAGAGCAGTCTTCCAGTATTTGAGGGGCTGCCCCAAAGAAGAAGGAGTCAAGCTATTCTCCAAAGCACCAGGAGGCAGGACAAGAAGCAACGGATGGAAACTAATCAAGGGGAGAAGCAACCTAAAACTAAGGAAAAATTTCCTGACAGCAAGAAAAATTCATCAGTGGAACAACTTGCCTCCAGAAATTGTGAATACTCCAACCCTGGACATTTTTAAGAAGAGATTGGACAACATTGGTCTGAAATGGCATAGGGTTTCCTGTATGAGCAGGGGGTTGGACTAGAAGACCTCCAAGGTCCCTTCCAACTCTGTTTTTCTATTTAAGACCTGCAGTCCTAGATTTTCCTGATGGCTTACCATGCCTGACTTCCTTCAGCTGCTCATGATCAGCCCCAGCTAGCTGGAAGAGACTGGATTCAGAGAGATTTACAACAACAATAGAATAGGAGCTGGGAGGGACCTTGGAGGTCTTCTAGTCCAGCCCCCCGCTCAAGCTGGAGAACCTAGGCTCATGATGGCGAACCTATGACATGCGTGCCACAAGCGGCACACAGAGCCATTTGTACCGGCATGCAAGCTGCAGGCAAACTTACTTTACTGCGCATGTAACATGCCTCACAGCTGATTTTTGTCTGGTTTGAGGCCTTTTTCGGCCTCCCAGAGGCTTCAGGAAGGCTTCTGCAGGCTGAAAACTAGGCCCGTTTCATCACTTCCTGTTTTTCCGGAAATACCAAAAGTGACGAAACAGGCCTAGTTTTTGGCCTGCAAAGCCTGCAGAAGCCTTCCTCAAGCCTCTGGGAGGCCAAAAAAGGCCTCAAATCAGCCAAAAATCAGCTGTCAGGTGCAGTGCAGGTAAGGGGGTGGCGGGGCTAGGGGTGGGGATCGTGCATATTTGTAGGGGTTGTGTGGAGGAGCGCGCATTGCCTTCTGGGTGCTGGTCCGCGAGCGTGAGCGTGTAAGCGAGCACACAATTTTTGGCACAGGAGCCCCATAGAGTTAGCCACCACTGATCTAGGCCATCCCAGACCAACGATTGTCCAATCTCTTCTCGAAAACATCCAGGGAACGGAGCCCCCACGATTTCCGGTGGCAAGCTGTTCTAGCCATCCAAGACGGGCTAGAATCACCGAATTGGTGGCTCACCGGACTGTTTACCCCGAATTTATTCCCCACGCATCCTCCCTTAAAAAGCATTCAAGTATGGATTTGGACCCGAGCGATCTTTGGCTCCGCTTCTTCCAAGCAGAGTGAAGCCAAAGGGGCCGATAACGCATGAAGGGCTTCGACGCAACAACCCCCGCTCCATTTTTCTCTGCCCATGGCAATCGGATAATTACATTCGGAGGACAATGACGGATTGTTTGGGGACTGCAGATTAATGGGGGAGGTTTGTGCAGTAAACAAAACCTTGGCGTCCCCAGAGCGAGCGGTGTGAAGGGAGCTGCGGGGAGGCTGATGGCGCTGATGTGACCCAGCTCGGGGGCCATTGAGAACTGGCACAGGGATGGAGTCGCACAATTCCCAGCCGCCGTTGCGTGAATTGTGCACCCGCCCCTTCTCCTGCAGCTCAGGCTGAAGAATCTAGGGCAAAGCTTTGTCCGGGGTGGATTAAAGCTCTCGATCCGTAATCCCTTTGTGTGCTAGACTCTGGAAAGAGATTTGAAGATAGATCTACTCTCTGGATCTGGGTAATCAGGCCAGAAGGATTACAGTGAAATCTTCCAGAACGGGACCCCTCTCTATTGGGGTTATTTTCTCTCTCTTCTGGAATAGTGATTGGACAACGGTCTGGTTCCCAAATTGGTAAGAGGGTCAGGGGTGGGTTTTTTTGGGGGGAGGAGAGAGGGCATCACACCTTCCTTTTTGTACTTCCATCACAACATCACACACTTTGGATCCTGGTGGGCAGGCCTGCAAAATGTGTCCAACTTCGGTTTGCTCAGCTGTAGTTCATTGAATAATTCATGATAGTTATTATGCCTGGATTACATTTCCCGCCTCCCCCCCCCCCCCCAAAAAAAGGGGTATCGTAAATTGGTCTCAGTTTAATGCACCACAAGTATTCCATCAACCATGCTTATAAAACCTAGTTTATGGCTTGGAACGTTGTGGAACCTAGCCAATTGTAGCTTATTTCATTTCTGGTGATATTTACAAAAGTTTGGCTTCCTTGCAGCATATGAAACCAAGTTCTTAAAGCACATTGGCTGGGGAATTCTGGGAGTTGAAATCTACACATCTTAAAGCATGTTGGCTGAGGAATTCTGGGAGTTGAAGTCTACAT